CAAGTAGAGAGGTAACTCAAGCTTTCAATGATGCTACTGTAAAGACTAGACTTATGAAACAAAGCTAGAACTTATAAAACCAGACAAATATGCCAGTCTTTAAGAAGAAACCAGATAAACCAACCAGACTACTGGAATTTTCAGATTTTAGAAGAAAAGAGTATATGTCAACAAACATGTAAACCAGAGGTGTATGGTTTTGATTTACCTTTCTGAACTATCTGGAATGACAGCTTGATGGAACTTGAATTGAATACCAAAATAGTAAGAATATATTGTGAAATCAGTACCGAGGTTTGGGTGAACTCTACAAGTTATAGTAGTTTAATGATATGCTCTGATCACCAGTATTGGTCTCAGCTATAGTAATATTAGGTCAGCTGTAAGATGGGATACAGAAGATTCTGAAAGGTTAGTACAAGGTCAAAGGTTCCAAAGAACTGCTTTAAAGACTTAATGACTATGGCATATTTTCACTGATATCGACCAAAGTCATTGGTAGGCAGAGGTAGGTGGGTAGATATGGAAACAGAATGGTTAAATAGGGAACCTACAAGTGGGTTCCAGGTATGGCAGCTAGTGTAGAACCTTCAGACATACTACTTAAATTAGACAATGACTAAAGTTGTATGAGTGACTAGTTGTACACTTTTTTCATAATTGACCCCTGTAGTTGTAAAGCAATCATTAGCCAAATATACTATCAATAAAATTCTGAGTTGCAAGTACTCACTTTAATATTTTTTTTTAAAAAAAAATGAAGTCAATTATAGTATATTAAATACAATACTTACTAGCAAATAAAACCTGTGATTATATAAAGGCAAAATAGTAAAAAAATAGAAAAAAAAGCTAAAAATAAATAGAAGTTTTTAGTAATATGAAATTGTATAAAAAAAAAGCATAACTTTAATAAAAAAAAACTTATTTTTAATGTTCCAATTAGTGAGAGAAAGCTTAAACATCTTCTTAGTAAAAAAGTATAAAGTAGTATTGCAGTAGTTAGTATTGATTAAGAAACAAAAGCATAATCCAGAAATAAAGTAAAGTTATATTTACCAAATTAAACCTTACATTTTAAAGACTTGTTATCATAAATTTATAATTTTATGTGACATCTGGTTAGTTGAGATGATTAACTTACTGTTTATCTATCACAATATTAATAAATTTATTCAAAAAACATAATTAATTACTAAAAAATATAATCAATATTTACTATAAATTTCTTAAAGATAAAATTAGATTCAAATTTAAATATAAAAATTTAAAGATAAAAAACATTGTAAAAGATTTTGATCAAATTTATTTGATGCAAAATTTATAATTTACTATAGTAGTTAATTTTAATTTTTGATTAATAATGATTATATGCATATTAATGCAAATTAAACAAGTTTTTTTTATGCACTAACAAGAAAAAAAGTAGTTTAAAGTTCTAAATTCTAGTATAATATTGCCTACTACTAATCTAAACTTTTATTTTTAAAGAAACAAAATGTATGAATAAGCTAGTATGACATATTATAAGGTTGAGTTTAGAGATAAGAAAAATATAATAAATTGTTGCTTAAAAAAAAAATTATGCCACATAACATTTCTCAATAATAATAAAGGCAGTTTTATGATTTGCATAAGGTTGAAATGATTATTAAGAAGTGATATAAGATAAGAGTTTTTAAAGAACATTGATATATTTTATAGATTAAAAAGGTTTTATTAATTTCTTTATTTTATATTTAGGAATAATACAACTATAGAACTGTATTATACTATTCTGAACTGTTCTAAACTGTCTTTTAGAAGAGAGAAATTTCATCCTTTTTATAATAAATTGATCACAAAAAGAACATACACAAGATCATAACTTTTCTCATTGTTCCTATCATTTTTCAACCATTTTTGTTCTAACATTTAATCACTTTTACACAACCCTTCATTACTTTAAAATTTTTTACATTCTTCATAGAACTAATGAGAAATGTTTCAGTTTTACTATCCCAGGGTCAGAACCTATCATATTGTCTACAGTCACATCCCTCTTGACATCACCTCACACCTAACCCAAGTAGGGTAGGTGGAGTCAACATCCATTCCCAGCATTAACAGGTTGGTCCAGATCGACCTTCTTTAATTGGAAGGGGTGGTAGGGAGGCTTGTGTACTGTCATATGACTTTCTTAGGGCCGGGCACACATGTTTCAAGTGGATCGTTATGGGAACCACCAATTAGGTAAGTATGCCACAATGATGATCACTTCGCAGGTTTCTTGGGGTGTCGGTTTTACCTCTGACACTAGCCAACCAGCCAATAGTAAATCAATCATTCAGATCGACCGAATCCACAGGTTTTTGAACAGTCCAGTATTACGTCAATTTTACCCAAGAATTTACGAATAAGTCTATATTTCATTTAATAAAAGTTAATCTATCTAATGATTTTACCGGTTATATAATTAAATATATTTACGTATGAATAAATGTTATTAAATAAATTAGATGATATGTTTGTAATAATAATATCCTGATCCGTTGGGAATTAGCGGAAACTTCGTTTCCGCTTATTCAGGGTATTATTAATTAATCCTCCCGTGAACTTAGTGTATCGTTATGAAATAATTTAATTATGACTACGATATTACATGCCTTGTTATTCAAGTATACGTAAATAATATATGATATTTAAACTCATTTTAATAATTACGTGATGTTTTGAATACGTATAAATCATACTATATTTTTATCTTCTCTTATATAAAAGTTAAGCATTATTTTATTATCGATAATCTATTTTTTTTTTTTATACGATGTGGGAGAATGAACACGTAAGACTTTTGGTGGACGAACGAAAGCAGAGAAACGAAGAATATCACTCAATTAAAAAGAAGAAACCTTTTTAATACATCTTATTCAGGAAAACTATGTCATGAAAAGTTTTTGCAGCTGGTTCGAGAATTCAATGTAACTAGTTTAAAAAAATTAATTATGATATTTTTGCTTTTTGCATCTACTATTGTTTATTTTTGTTATGTAGCTAATGGTTCTTTATAGAAGTGGTAATGATGGTAAAAGTACCCGTTATGATCGAATGTATTTTGATGAATTTCAGTCGTTGTTTTGGTTACCACTAAATTCATTATACAAGTTGATATATATTTCTATTATAATAAAATAATAATTTACTGTATTACATATCAGATTATAATACTTAAATCGTTAAATCGTGATAACAGCTATATATAATAAAACACATCTTAACATCGCTTATTCTTAGTTGTCTGAATACATTACAGAATAGTAATTTTTTTCTACTTTTTTTTAGTATAATTTGCTAAAAAAAGTTTTTTTGCAACCAGATTTTGTTAAAATTTATTAAAACATGCGATACAGCATATGTTTTAAAAACAAATGTTAGCGATGTTATTCTGTAAAAATTTTGCTTTGTAAATAATGTTAGCAATGTTATTCTAAAAAAAATTTTGTAAATATTTTTTGAAAAAATATTCAGATGAGTTGCGGATATAAAAGTAGAAACTATATAGATTATTTCCAAATATATCAATATTGAGAAAATTTTTTCATATATTTGAATTTATTTGGATTTCACTAAATCTGAGACCATCCACTTCTAGTTTTACATTAAAAAATCGGAGCGGTGTATTATACCTATCCAACAAATAAAGGCAGGCATTTGTATATAGCAGATAGATTTTAAAAAATTATTATCACGATTTGTCACCCGGGTCTTTCACATGAACGTGCTCATACGTACGCATGTGATCAGTGAGTATTTACGAAAGTTCCAATATTACTGTTAATTTGCTTCCACCAGGGCTTCAGTCAACTAAACTAAAAATATAAAAGGTTTATAAGAGATTTAGTTTCTAATTATATTCAAATATTAATTAGCGATATCAAAAGTAAAAAAGTCAAACAAAGCTTATTGAACATAGAGCATTGCTGTTACTTTTTTGTTTGTATCACTCAATGAAAATATTCCATGGCGCAGCAAAAGATGCTAATTACGGAAATGTAAAATCGGACAAGACTGCGATAGACGGATATGAAATGATATGTATTTATTGAGGCCATGTTAGATAATAATGTTTAAACAAATCAGATGGTCATAATAGCTACAATCAACTACAATCTAAGCAATTGTTTCTTACAAATCAAATGTGTTAGGAATTTTATATTTTTGATCGGATTGTTTTAAAAAACAAATAGCGCTTTAGTAGTAATAAATCCTGTTTGTTATGTGAATTATCTCAATGGTAATTAATGTATGCACGTACGTACGTAATTATGTAACATTCAATTCCTTTGACATCTGAATTATATCTTCGAATTCAGGTTTTGCGTGACAATATCTCGCATATACCTTATTTTGATAAATGTCAACTCGTACAAATAGCTAGAAATAGTTAAATAGTTAAATAGTTAAATCGGGATTTCATGCGCAGGCTGCGTATGTCCCCTTGATTTATTCTCGTATTTTGAGGTCAGTGGTCGGTTAGAGCGACGTGAATTTAATCTACTTGATCCTTGGTTTAAAACACTTTTCGTTTGTGTTGAATGACTTAGAATATATTGGTAAAATATCAGACTTCCAAAGTTACTGTTTCTTTTATGTGATTGGACGATTATTATATAAAACCTATTCTTAATTTAGTATTTGATGTCCGCATGTGTTCCGATTAAATGCAAGCCTATTCTTAATTTAGGATTTGATGTCCGCATGTGTTCCGATTAAAATTCTTGTCATTATGAAGTCATCTCACCTAAAAACAATAATGAAATTATTTTTCATATTGATTTCGGAAGTTTTTGTCCTATTACTTATAATATATATGAAAACTCATAACAGCTTGCGCAGTTCTTATTCCTAGTAATGGCCATCAAAAATTTCTACCATAGTCTTCTTTATAAAAGCACCAATTTCATTCATCTTTTCTCAATCAACTCATACCGTTCTCAATCATCTTAAGATTATTTGAAAAGATGGAAAACAGTACTCTTATCGAAAAAACAGAAGATTCATCCATAACAACTTTAGTCGTTGATAAAGATGACTGGAAGTGGCCATGCTTTGAAGAATGGTATGATGATTATTATGGTAAAATGGAACGTAGGATAAAAATTGAAAGTATCAACATCATTCCCTTCGTGGTCATTTATCCACGTAAGGATAAACCGTACGTTGAAGTGAGTTCTCCAAAGTTGATTGAAATTTTGCGAGATATCCTTCCGAATAAAAAGCCATTTGACAGTATTGATGATGATAACCCCAAAGTATCAATAAAAGCTCAAGATTTGTTTCATGTGATGGAAAAATTGAAAGATGTTATTAGTAAGTAGTTTGATCTTGTTAAAATAATTTATAACTGTATTAAATAAAATAAACTGATATTTAATCATATATTAATTATATACGTATATTAGAAAACATGGATGATCTGGAGAGCGTTGTCCACCTAAAACGTATGGTTCGATTTCTTGAACAAGAGTTTAAACAAACCATAAAAGCTCGTGAAGTAATGGTTGCACATAAAAAAGTTTCGTATGAAATGTTATGGGTGTTCTATACTGAAAAATTGGAAGTATGGTAGTAAGTATTAAGTTAAATATATATATATATTTTTAAGTGATCTCTTAATAATTTCTTAATAATTTCTTAATAATTTTACTAATTAATAGTAGGTGTGCATTGTCTGGTCAACAGATCGGAGGTATCATTTCCTCAGTAAAAGAGAAAGTATTACGCACTGGCAAAAAAATATTTAAGATAAATATTAATGTGATCAAATATGATGGTGTTGGATTCAAGCGCTGCCAAATAGAGCGTATTATTGAATATTTCAATGGTGATGTGAGCTTTTCTGATTTACCAGTTGTTCCAATTAAGCTTTCAACTGCCGAAGAGTTTCT